AATAAAAAAAAATAAGTTTATTTATTGCTAAAATAAAATGTATTTACTGTTCAAAAATAATTATTCTTTTTTAATTTTATTATTTTTTTTTTTATTTAAAAAACAATCAATTTAAATGATGTATCCGGAAATTGAAATATTGAATTCAATTTTTTTTTACAATATTTTCTAATTAAAATAACATCTTTAATGGAAACAAAATACTCGTGAAAGAAAAATATTTCTAATATTGTCAATGTAATTTCTTTTTTATTTTCAAAATATAAAAAAGATTGTTTCTATTAAACTGAAATCGTAATGTTATAACATCATTATACATCAACATCATCATCATCATCATCATATCATCCTTTAACTGTCCACTGCTGAACATAAACCTTCCCCTTTTTTGCCAGTTATTTCTATGGGCGGAATAGCAAAATTGTGTGCGGAGATGTTTTAAAATATATTTTTCATAGTCACCTTTTCGACACCCACATTTATTATTGTATACGGCATTATATATAAAAAATAAATAGTTTATATATATATTTATAAAAAACATTATATTATTATTGTAAAATATAAAATATATTTTTATGATTTATAACAATCATTTATTATAAAGGGATCTCTTACAAATATAAAAAAGATTGTAGAATGTATAAGGGTAATAACCGTCAATTAAAGATAAACTAAATAATACCCAGTAAAAAAAAAAATTGAAATATAAAATATATTATACCTTATTTTAATAAAAGTAATTTAATAATATAACATTAATAAATAAAAACTATAAAAAATACATATATACACATTACACACATATATACATATACATATATATATATATACATATATATACATACATTATACATATATACACTACTACATACACATACATGTATACATAATAAATACATATATTCACAATTGGCTCAATGAAGAGGGATTTTCAAAATAAAATTTTATGATACCTGCTTGACAGGCGTGCCATCTTTAAGTTATTAGGTGAATTCAGAGACGTGCAGCATGTACAGCTTTGACATGGCATAGCTTTGAGTATTAAAACAAGGCAAATCTATAATGAAGTCATTACTGCATCTCAGGCGAACATCAATTTCGCGAAATTTGAATCTTTCCTGACACACCCATGTTGGATTAAAAAGGATATTGAAAAGAAGGTAAGAATGTGGACATTTCTCCGTAGCCTGATAGGAAGCCATTTGAGTTGACTGCGATAACTAGATATGTGGTCATACGGATTATATTGTATTAAAATAATGAGACAGACATATCATCTTAATCTCTTTTAATAAAACATTAACATAAATCATTTCACTGCTGTTTCAGAACCTCCTGCTTTATTAGAATCGATTAAAATAAATATGTTTTATCACAATATAAGAAATTTTTCTTTTTTTTTTATACATTTTAGAATGGCAAACAAGCTGACGGCTCACCTGATGAAAAGTGGTAGCCGTCGCCTATAGACATGAGCAGTACCATGGACATAACAGAGTATACTGTTTCGCCCATGATACCTCCCCATGCGTTGCCATTCCTGAGGACTCAGGTGTTATTCCTTTGTACCCAGTAAATTCACACCATATCCCACCCTTCAAACCGAAACACAGCCATGCAAACACAACTGCTTCACGGTAGAAACACGAATGGGACAGAGGTACCCAATCAATCAACTTTCGCACAAAGTCTCCCTCTGGTGTTTTCTATATAATACTATTAAATTACATTAAAAATTTGTATACAAAGAGCAATTGAAAAAGCATAATTTGCGTACCAAAACTAGTAAGACCTTGTCAGACAACTGACAAGTGGACCGGAAAATATTGGTCGCACAAAAAATATATACATTGTTCGACAGTAGAAAAAAAAGAGTCCTCCAGTGATGCCATTAAAAAAATACATTGAGATATTATTTTGTTTGATGTATAAACGCCCATTCTGTGTACCTAAAATGTTGACGCCCTACCATGTGACGTATAATTTATAATATGGATGATAATAGAATGAAATAACCCCACAAATATATATATATATATATATATATATTTCATCAGTGGGTGTAATAAATAAACAAAATGAAATAGGACAGACACCCCTGGTAATGTAGGCGTTACGTAACCACTTACCATCACATGGGCCGTATTGATTGTCACCTCAGTGGTATAAAAAAAACATATATATTGATAACCAACAGTCAGGTTTTTTATGCAACTTGAAATGGCAAACAAGCTGACGGTCCACCTGATGGAAAGTAGGAACCGTCGCCTATAGAGTATTTATTATATTATTCGGGTATTTTCTTTCCACTAGGTCACGGCAACATAGTTATGCCATTGAGCCACTTCCTTCCATTGATGTCGTGTCTGCATTGAACCACCTATATTATTCAATTTAGGTTCAGTCCATGGCCTTAAATCTGCTTACATAAGTCTAGGTTTTTAAAGTAAACAATAGTATAAAAATAGGTATTGCAAATTGCAAGTCATTTTGCTACGTAGATCCGTTTTAATCGGAACTTGTTTCATTATATATTCCAACATATTTTATCAATCCATCATGGCTTATGGTGCCCCATTGCTGGGCAAAGCCTTCCCGCAATTACTCCAAACTACTGGCCAAACCCAACAAGTTTTTATAGAACTAATCCAGATTGTCTTTCAATCACATAAGAGGTCTTAAACATCTTTTTTGTGTTTCAGGGATCTAAGACTTACTTATAGATTTTAACCCACCTATGGTTTGACATTCGACTCACTTGTCCTGTTCAGAACTTATATCCTGCCCTCAGTTCACCTTCAGAGTTGCCGCTTTTTGCATTGAGTCAACATTTTTTGTATGAGAGCGCAGTATAGTATTCGGGCCTCATCGATTAGTTTTAATTGCAATTTACTACGCTCTATTACCTTTTGACAAATTCTGAGTTTAAACTTTTGAGCTTGTGATAAATTCAGATCATATTTATTCAAATAGACTTATTTACAAGCACTCATAAAATGTTAATTTTGTAAAATTTGCAGGAATCGGAAAGTTATTATCTGCTAAGTAAAACCCATACAAAACTCAATCGTTACACTTTTAAATCTCTCATAGCATAATGCGTGTTTATTTAATTGTACTATGTCTAAAATTATTGGTCATTAAAAATCCACTGCATCATGTAGATCATGCATCAATGTAGGTAAGGTATGGGCAAAATTCACTTTGGGTTCGCTGGAAGCGAAGTTTTGTAAAGTTAAGCTCACTTTTGTACATTTGCTTCCAACTGTCATATTTCTTTATGTATTGTTAGTGTGTACAATAAAATGTAAATAAAAATAAAATGCTTATTATGTATCAATTGAAAACGATTACTAATGATTTTATTATCACTTGAACAAATCAAAATTTTAAGAAACGTAAAAAAATGTAAAGACGTATTGGAGATGTTCATTTGTATAGGGGGAAGAGGGAGGCCATAAAGAAAATAACACGTTCTTTTATTCTTCTCTTATTTCGCCGAAGTAATCAAATCAACAAAACCACTGAACCGATTTTGATAAAATTTCTATGAAACCGATATCCTCTTAGATAAAAAAATTATTTCCAAATCGGTTCTGACAACTGACAGAGTTATGAGCTAACAAACAATAAAAAAACAATTGAGCACCTCCATCTTTTGAAGTCGGTTAAAAAAAGCTGAATTAATTTATAATCCTATGTTTCAAATCCTTCAAATAATACCCGCTCATATAAACACCGTTAACATTAAAGTTTGTACCACACTGTATGTGGCTTATATTAGTCCCAATTAGCCAATATTAAGCCATCACTTATCATCTCCTAGGTTGCGAAGTGATTCGTCTTTGAATATAACCTTATCCGTTGAAAGTTGAAAGAGTATTATGCACGGTTCGAGTTCTTAAAAGAGACTAACTTTTGCCTGCGACTTGTCATGTCACTGACAAAAGTTGCTATTTAGAAGTGGGTAACAATTTAGGTGGCGTATTAAAATATAACATACAGCATATTTAAAATGAAATCTTCAAGATTTTTTTTTTATACAACTTAGAATGGCAAACAAGCTGACGGCCCACCTGATGGAAAGTGGTAACCGTCGCCTATAGACATAAGCAGTACCATGGACATAACAAAGTATACTGTTTCGCCCATGATACCTCCCCGTGCGTTGCCATTCCTAAAGACTCAGGTGTTATTCCTCTATACCCTGTAAATTCACGCCATATCATACCCTTCAAACCGAAACACAGCCATGCAAACACAACTGCTTCACGGTAGAAACACGAATGGGTCAGAGGTACCCAAGCAATCGACTTTAGTACAAAGTCTCCCTCTGGTGAATACGACTCAGAAAACTATACCCAATATGGTGCAGTAGTTATAAATAACGCCGAAACAAACATGTACATATAGACATACAAATAACGATATTGCCAATATAGCTAAATTATTTAAAAATCGTTGAATAATAACTGTCGTGAGTCATACTACATTGCAATAGTGCTACTCTCGTCATAACCGTGAACTATCCTCATAAACAAGATTATTATTATGATTAGCTCAGAAACAAGCTCCTATTAAATTAAAAACTAGTCGAGCATCTCCGAATTTAAAACATGAGTAAAGCCATCACAAATATTCTAGATTTGTTTACGTAACTTGATTTTTTTTTTTAATTTGATTTGATGACAGCAGTGATATCGAAGTATCAAATGACAGATGGATAGATAACATAAAAACTAAGATTACATAGTCTGACTTGTGAGAGTCTCTTATTCTAATCTCTACTTGAAGACCACGTGAATGTAATAATGCAATACAGATACGCCTCTAAAGATTGGGTTACACTCGAAATGTTTTTCTAGACAAGTAGAACAATAACAAATATTTCTCTGATTTTGCAATACATAAATAATACTATAATAGTATTGACCTGGAAATACGGAAACTGAAGGTTTAATCTTCTTACATTCAAAAGGATATTTAAACAAATCAAAATTCATAAATATATAATTATTTAATTGATATGTCATTTATAGTGCAGCATACTTCTTCAATCTCTCATTGAATCCGAACTCGTCCATTGCCATACGTTGTTCGTCCGAACAGTATTCTGAAAGAATAAAACATCATATTAGTATGTTTTATTTTCTTACAAAATTAAAGAAACTGTTGAATACAGGCCTTCCCCATGAAAAAGGTTTTACTAGTAGCTGCATACGTTTGGCAAGCGGGTTAACAACCGCAGTAAGGCTTTGGTGATGTTTTAAGAGAGGACGCTGCTGCCCATCCCTCGATCATTAAGTTACCTTAGTCACCTCTTACATCATCCACGGGAAAGGAAAACGTGGTCCACTCTTTACCGAGACTACATGGTAAAGAGGCATATAAAGTTATAATCCAATTGAGAAGCGTCAGCTATGCTAAACATCACAGCTAAAAGCATTTTGATAGAAGAAAACTGACAGATAAATAAATTGTTTGCTATTCAAAATTGCATTCCAAAAATTAAAAAATACAACTGCCCTACTAAAAAATAAATTATTTAAAAAAATGTAATGATGCAAGGATTGTAACTAAACCCAATACATCTAAATCTGTTCTGGCATTTAGTTATGATGGAATAAAAAAAATTTACACAAATACATGAAACCTTGAAATATTACACTCCATTTTAAAGCAGTTATGTAAGAAACATTCATCATCATCATTATCATGTCAGCTGTTATCTGTCCACTGCTAAACATGAGCCTTTCCAAAAAACCGCCAAAAGAATCGGTCTCGAGCCATCTGCATCTACTGACACCTTATTAAAACATTGCTCACCTATGTTACTAGCTTCCCATCCAATATATTCTCCAGTGCGCTCGTTCTCTCTCTTCAACCATTCATGTAAAGGCTCGAAATACTCGAGTAATCCGCTAGCGTCCATGTTTCTTTGTCCAGTTAGTGCTTCCATAGCATCAGGCCATGGTTTCGATGAGCCCATTTGAAGCATTTTCCTACATGCCAAAGAATTACATGAATTTGCTTTAAAATCTAAATCAATGCTGAGAGTAACTCAATCATTTACAAAAAAATATTGCTATAACATGTTCAACTAACAAATAGATCAAATGTTTATCTATTTTTCATAAAATAACATGGTATGTGAACACACTATCTTCGGCGAACACAGGGACAATATAAATGAATGTAGTCAACCAAAAAGAGAATATTTTACTGTCAACGCAATCAAGGTTTGTTCAGGGTGGGCAACGCATGCGTAATGTCCCTGGTATTGCAGACATTCATAAGCTACGGTAACTACTTACCATCAGATGAGCTGTAACCTTCACCAGAGACTTTGTACAAAAGTGGATTGCTTAAGTACCTCTGTCCCATTCTTGTTTCAACCGTGAAGCAGTTGTGTTTACATGACTGTGTTTCGCTTTGAAGAGTGGGATATGGCGTGAATTTACTGGGTACAGTGGAATAACACCTGAGTCCTCAGGAATGGCAACGCATGGGGGTATCATGAGCGAAACAGTATACTCTGTTATTTCCATGGTACTGCTCATGTCTATAGGCGACGGTTACCACTTTTCATCAGGTGGGCCTTCAGCTTGTTTGCCATTCTAAGTTGTATAAAAAAAACCTTATTCGCTACCTCAGCAAAAATCACGGCTTTTTTATGCTGCATTTAAAAGATGTTATGAAAGAATTACAAGAGTAATATAAGATTTTACTTAAGATTTCTCATTATCAAAATAATCTATTAACTGTGTACAGATCTCTCACTACAAGATGATATTAGCTTATTATTACATAGCTGGCTGTAGGGCTTGGTATATTTGATGTTATGGTTCATAGATTTTATTTTGATTACCTATCTCTTGTTTTATATTTATATATTATTTCATGTATCTTAAGTATCCTAAGAATATAAGTCATTTTTTCTCCATCATCATTTGAAAATATGTTGGTAATAATTAGGATATATTATTAACATGTTTTTTTGAAATGTAATTGAAATGAAATATTGACAAAATAACTTTTTTTATTGTTAGGTAGGCAAATGAGCAAATAGCTCACTTGATGGAAAGTGGCTACCGTCGCCCATGAACACCTGTAACACGAGAAGAGTTGCTTCTACGTCGCCAGCCTTTTAAATGTTTACTTACCCTAATGCTTCTCCGGCTTCTTGGCTTCTATATATATCACAAGCTGAAAGTATTTTATCAGAATCACCAGGGCTGTATTCACCGGCTAGTTGACAAAGGGCTCGATGAAATTGGAATTGTACTATGTAAGAAACATAATATCTGTAACAAAAAAATTTTAAGTTATAGGACTTTTGCAAGATATTAGTCTATTTACATTTCTGAATCATGTTACAATTTTATTACAAAAACATTATATTACCCTGCACAAGTACTTTATAAATTAACAATTATTTATCTAATTCGATACCTAAAACACTTTAAATTCTGATATGTGTGAAATAAACTATCCAAATGTTTGTCCTTTATTCCATATGCTATATTATAAGCCGTACATTGAAAATTTCTTAGAAATCTTTTAAAGGAATTAGGTAATAATCCGTCATCATAATTAACATTTCATCATTTCAGCCGTTAGCTGTCCACTGCTGAACATAAGCCTTCCCTCGTAAGGGAAGTCTTGCCAGTAGTTGCAATGCTTGGAAGACAGGGTGGTAACCGCAATTTGGCTTTAGAGATATTTGAAGAGGGACGCTGCTGCCCATCACTCTACCATCAAGTTTCCTTAGTCGCCTCTTACGATACTCACAGGAAAAGAAGGAGTAGCTTATTTTATGCTGAACCACACAGCTATCATCATAGTAATTATACATAATATAGTAAGTATTATATATTTTCCTTCCTGACCTCATGTACTCCACATCAGCAGCAACATGGTACTTAGCTGTTGGATCAAAATCATCTTCACTCCTAGGAGCTGGAGGTTCGAGCCCTTGTAATGTTTCCCTCAGTCGCCAGAAGTGACAATTGTAATCTCTAGTTGTAGTGGTCCCTCGGAATACTCCGTAACGGAAAATGTCGAGGAGGTATGCAAATGGTAGAAAGACTATTTTGTCTAGGCCCTGTAAGAAAATTTAATATCGTTAACTACCTATATGGTACATATATTTAAAAAATGAAAAAGGTATTTAACAGCCCATAAATAGGTTAGATAAAAAGTTGGACGAAATGGTAAAACCTAGATATAGAGTCATTAAACTGATAAAAGAAAAAATTGGAATGGTATCACTTCAAAATGTAATAATACTTGTCAAAAAGCACAATTAGTGGCAAGAGCTCGTCTAATAAGAGTTCAGCTTTTAAATAATAGCAAAGTCGTGTATAATTCTTATTCTGTAGTCATTTCAATATTCGAGCCAGTGACTCAAATATAAGGATTCAAAATTAAGCAATTTTTTGTTCAATTGAAATAATTAAAATGTATCAACAATAGACGAAACATAAAATTGTATATTTAATACATATTGAGAATTGATCGTAAGTGGATTTTAACAATTATGGATAATTTTAAACATTATAGCCATATCTTTAAATACGTGTTTATAACCTACCATTTTGTATAGCTGATTGATGTTAGACTCAGTATCTTCTGGCCCGTCTTCTAAGAGACCCACTATTTTTAGATGCTTAGGAGTTGAGACTGACAATGCTATAACATCACCAACAGCTTCATGGAAACCTGCAGTAAAAAATATCTTTGAATTCCCTTCTAAAATTATAACTATTAAACTAAAATCAAATATGAGAATAAATAATAAGTGAAATAACTATTGTTTCAACCGAAAAATTGTTAAAAAAATTTCAACTAGCAAGACCCATGATGACTGTTCAACCAATTTATACATTATTTATCAACATGTTAAACATCTTCAAGAGTATCAAAAAAGTATCAATTTTCTACTTATAAAAAAATAAATAAAATTCATATCCTTAGTATTTACACGAGTGTCACGTTCATAAGTAGGACAGACGAGCTAGCCATCTTCTTTTTTTACAACACAGGGGGAAAACGAGCATGCAGCTCACCTGATGGTAAGTGACTACCGCCGCCCATGATCACCCACAACACCAACGGCATTGCAGGTGTGCTGCCGGTCTTTTAAAAAGGAATACGCTCTTTTCTTGAAGGTTATGTTGTGGTATTGGTTCGGAAATTTGCGATCAATCATATTTTAGAAAACACGCCGCCGCCTGTTTGGATATTTTACTGCGCGTACTCAAGGCACCTAACCACGTTATAGGTAAATTGAAACAATCTTATACTACACACAATATAACAGCTTCGAATAGAGAGAAATTTTGCTAATTAATGCAATTAATTAAATAAATTACCAGGATTAGCACCACCCCTATAAACGACGGGTTTGTCTTTGTATTGTAAATAATATTGAATGTGGCCCATTTCGTGATGCGTTGTCTTGAAGAAAGCGGCCGTTATCGTGGTACATTGCTTGATCCTATAAAAATATGAGACAGTTACCAGGGTTCGCTCCTCCTCTATAGACAATCGGCTGATGCTTATACTGAAGATAGTATTCTACGTGACCCATTTCATGGTGAGTTGTAAAAAAGAAGTCGCTTGTTATAGTGGTACACTGTTTTATCCTAGAAATAATTAAGTCTTTTAATTTTTTTCAAAACGGGCTTATTCTTCTTGACAAAATTTATAGAAATGCACTGAAAAGAAAGTCTTAGGGCCATCTTCTAAATTAGCCTTTGAATATATTTCACTGAATTAATATTTTAAAAACAATTTACCTAAAATCTTCGCCATCATAAAAGTCCCAGGCGGAAGCATGGCAAACCAATTCTCGGCCATCGTTTGGTTTTTCTATAATCGACCTCTCCCAGAACAAATCTGGCATGCCGCTTAGATTCAACGATTTAAAGAATTCCTCAGCAGTTTGGAACATTTTCAGAGCTGTGTAATTCTAAAAAAAACATATGCAAAATGTTTAGTAAAAATGAATAAAATTTAACTTAATGATCGAGAGATGGGCAGCTGTGTCTATCTTTAAACATCACCAAAGCCTAAACGCGGTTGCCAATCTGCCTGCTAAGCATGGCAACAAAAATGACAGTTAATGATCAGTAAGATGGTGATGATGAAGGTACAATATATGAATAAATACTTTCTAAAATAGATCCCGTTCAATTTGTTTATATAAACAAATTATTATATTAACTACGTCTGCTGTATAGTAACAATACAAACATTGATGGGTCTTGATCTGTATTTTTTACAAGAGATACAAAACAATAATTAAGGAATGAAACAGATGTTAGACTATATTGATGACAATGTCTATGTCTAAATGTGATAGTTATCTTTTTTAAGAGCCTCTTTGTGAATTATTATCAGGAGAATAAACATTATAAAAGAATCTACTTACTTGAGCAATTAATGCTGAGGTCACATCGACCTCTGGTTTGTTGGGGTAGGGTCTAGTAAATTTTTCGATATTACCCCATGTCTGTGCCCAGATATTACCTGTAATCAAAACTAGATTTTCTTAAAAATCCTTAACAGCACTAAGATGGAGAATGAATTAGTTTGCCCATGTATTTATTGAACTAAGATTTAACTAAACATAGTTGCTATACATAAAATAGATGTTATCATTTTATGTATAAATTAACTATAAGGATTTAATAAACTTATTACCATCATAGTTAAATAATCATTGTCGTATCACCATAAACACTATATAGTTAACTTATTTTTATAAAACAAAATTATAGAAAATATGAAAGGAAAAATTATTCATAGAATTATGCGACTCGCACAGTAGCATAAATGAAAAACTAAATACAACAATATTAATTATAAACCAATACCAAAACAAAAACGAAACAAACGAACCAAAAACAATAGAGTACAAATTAAAAAGTATCTACCGTTCCCTGCTTAAATGAAGCCTAAATTTAAAAGCATAAAGGTAAGTGCAAGTGTGTGTACCATATATCTATTATGGTTGATCCAATAGCAACAACAGCTGTAGTATTATTTATCTAATATTACATATATTGCTTTTAATATTAGACATGAATGTTGAATGTCACTAAAACGATAAATTGACAGGGTATGGATATTATCCTTTTTTTTATATGTTGTTGTATTCATGCTTTCCTGGGTGGGCGTATTAGAAGACTGTTAGGCTACACCCAGTGGATGTAATAAATAAATAAATAATAATACTTCATGCATGTCACAGAATTTTCTGGTGTCCATGGTGCTATTCATGTAATAATATCAGTAAAATATATTATAAAACATATAAAAATACCAAAGATATTCCAAACTAACCTAAGAGGTGAGCTGGAATGGGTCCTCTAGCAGATACGACATTTTCTCCATATTTTTCTCTTAGCTGTCTCCTTACGTAAGCGTGTATTTGTTGATACAGAGGCTTGACTTGACTCCAAAGTGAGGCAAATTGATCTTCACTATCGTCCGACTCATATGCACTCAACCACCACTCCGCTACACTGTCGTAACCTTAAACGAATATAAAAATATGACATTTACAGTTTTTATCTCAAAACAGAAAAAAAATGTAATATAAACTTTACAAATCATGTAAAAATAAATAAAGACTGTATTTTCATATCAATATTATACATAAAAATACTTTATAATTTTCCATATATTTTCTTTTTTATGATTATAAATTACTGGAGGAATAAATATTGGGTTTATAACTTATTTTTCCATTCATAGTTATGGTTTGGTTTTTATTTGGGTGGTTTTTATTTTTGTGAGCCAAAATCTTATATTCTAGAGGTAAAATATATTTTAGTGTAATTTAAAATTACCATTCAATTTTGCTGCTTCGTTATCCAATTGTATATATTCAGTGAAGTTTCCTCTAGAGGGCGCACCCGCGGCTTTGTGCCACTCCAACCATGTATACTTCAGCTCCTCAGGATCCTCGCTATTGGCAAAAATATCAGTTACATCTGAAATAAAGATGGCACGAATTAAATTAATATAAATTAATATATTTATAAATATAAATATTATTTTTAAAATAATAAAATTTTATTATAATAGTATGATGGTGATGATACAGCCGTTAACTGTCCACTGCTGAACAAAAGTCTCACCATTGGGGGATTTTGCCATTAATTGCCACGTTTAGCAGGCAATTGGCAACCGCAGTTAGGCTTTAGAGATGTTTTAAGAGGGACGCTGCTGCCCAACCCTCGACCATTAACTTACTATAATAATATAGCATAAATTTTTTAATTAGTACTTAAATATAAAAGGATAAAATACAAAGACAACTTCTAATGATGTAAAAGTAGAAATTGACCTGGCGAATAACTAAAGTTGAATTCTGAACCTACTAAGAAATGGTTTGCCGAAATTTCCGTAGGATTTTTAGACTCCGCACTGCCTTAGGAAACAAACAGCCTTTTGTTACCTACTCTAGATAATTACCTGGTTCCACGTGCAAATCGCATTTGTTTCTGTCTTTGTAATCACAAATGGTGGCCGTTGCGTATATACTTTGCATATTACTTATTGCTGTTAACAATCTCTGATTTAAGTCTTCAGGTAACGCTGCTGTTCCGAGTTCTGAATATTTCTTAAACATCCTTTTTAGATCTGGATCTTCGTATTCATGCCAGAGATAACTCATTGTCTCCTTCCAGTACTCTTTCTGTTCTTCTGCTACTTCTAAAGATATTTGAAGCTGGAAACCATATTAATCTACTGTCACATCTGTTTCGTTTGCTAACCCTAAATATAAGTAAATAAATATACCAATCTATCTTCTACACTTATAATAAATCTGTAGAGAGGTCAATTCTGTACATGAAATATATTTCTAAAATAACTATCGGGGGGTGATTAGTGATCGATACTGATGCCAAAAATGCAGTCAGTAAAATTTTTGTCTGTCTGTATGTTTGTTATAGAAACAAAAACTACTCGACGGATTTTAACGAAACTTTGTACAATTATTCTTCATACTCCTGGGCAGGTTATAGTATACTTTTCATCACGTTACGATCAATAAGAGCAGAGCAGTGAAGTGAAATGTTGGGAAAACGGGAAAAGTTACTCGATTTTTAAGCTTCCGTCGCGTGTGCAGCCTTAATGGCCACTAAATACGCTTAATCTATTTAATTGGAAATGTAAAAGTTTATGACGATGGCCGGATTAGTCTTTCACGCAAAAACCACTGAACGGATTTGAATTAAATTTAGTACATGTGTAGATTACATTCTGTCTTAACCCAAACAATACTTTACATACCAATTCAAGCAAGCGAAGTCCAGTCATCTATATCCTTAATATTGCACTATATATATATATATATATATATATATATATATATATATATATATATATATATATATATATATATATATATATATATATATATATATATATATCGAATAAATTATTGTGTCATGACCACAAAATACATCCAATTTTTTTTAATACGCACCATTTGTTCCTCATTATAATTTGTAATGTTACTCTCATAATTCCACGATGCTAATGTTCTTCTGTTCTGCGCTTTGGCCATCAGTTCATCCAGTTTTCTCATATACTCCCGTCCTGCTGCTTCCTCGGCGGCTCTCTCGGCCGCTCTTCCTTGAGCAGCTACTATGAAAACTGATGCTATTGCGCCCACCAGGGCGAGCTCGACGACGATCTTCATCATCAGCTAGAACGAACGAAAGATATTGATTACGATGTAACAGAAAAGATCTGAAATATAACGGTAGCTTCCACGTAACTTGATAAATTTGTGATACATGGATCGAAATGTGAAAATCAATTCTTAAATTTATGAATATATAATTAACAAATTAATGACAAGGTTTTAAGGAAGATTCCTCGTACTGGAAAGGAGGAATAACACCTGAATCCTCAGGAATGACAACGCATGGGATATATCATGGGCGAAACTGCATACTTTGTTATGTCCATGGTACTGCTCATGTCTATAGGCGACGGTTACCACTTTCCATCAGGTGGGCCGTCAGCTTTTTTGCCATTCTAAGTTGTATAAAAAAAAATGTTCTATATTCTTTGTACTTGTAAGTGGTTCGAGTCTTTGGTGCACTTTGAATTTAACAAATGAATTGTCAATAGATTTGTCTTAACTTTGTCACTATTGTAGATTACATGTAGATAGCCAGTATAATCGTATGAAATCATACAAAAATATTTTAGAATCATCTATTTAGTGACTACCTATGTTATCTACGTCTACTTGTTTTATTTCCACTTTCAACCTTCCCTGTATAAAATCTTTTGGACAAATTATGACTTCATACAGCGTAGAATAGTTTACATCATTATCAATTTGCAACGGTGAGGCTAACATATAATGAAAACCCTCAGAAGTCTAAGATAACATTCTTAATCGCCTAAAAAATCATTAGATAGCTTTGGAAAATGACTTATAAACTTTCTTTTCAATAATCCCCCTTAATGTATTTTAAATAGAGATACAAATTCAAATAGGTAAAGCTACATCTAATTATATACAATAAAGATTTAGAATAATATAAATACAATAGAATACATTTTTTATGAAAAATTGAAATCGTATGCAAGCTGATGGACTATATTAATCGAAATTTATAACTGTTGCTAGCAACGTGTATAGAACTATACACATTACACAATACACTATGATATATCTATACACTGGCCCAATAATGAATATGTTAAAAATCTGTTATCCAAATATATGTAGTATTTTTTTTTGATGGGTGAAAATGGTATGGTAACCCCGCCTGCGCTAACGGGATACGCTGGCGGAGCACCAGTGAAGGGTGATAGATGAGAATGAAAACAGGCCAGTTAGCCCATCATGATGAATTCATCAGGTATTAACCATTATAGTTTCCAGGGAGAACCGCGAGGAGGTCGACCTGGTTGGCTATATTGCTAGCAATGGGATTCTCAGTATCCATTACTAACAATCCCTTCCCCCCAATATATGTAGTATTGGATATACAGACTTATTCTATATTCGAAAATAAATATCTGACCGATATGAGCGATATCGGAATGGGTGATCAATGTTCAGAGGAACCCGATATATAGATATCGGATCGGTATCCATATTACCCAAGCCTACTTTGATACCCATGATTTTTATGCAATTCTATCCCTGACTACTAAGGTACTAAATATTGCAAACCTTAACTTCGATGACGTGTTGACTAACAATAATTTACTATTATATACAAATTGTAACAAGCAATTAGAAGCACTGAAGACTGAACTCAACTAAAGTACATTCGACAATCTACGAGGTACACCGAAGACCACAGAATATATAACTTGTAATGAAACAAAAACAATTCAATATGTCAAGGCAGTTTGTTCTAACTAAAAAATATAACGTAACGGTCTCTTTATGGAGTCGACGATTGCTAAGAGAACAAATGCAAAAACTGGTTGCATCTGATGGTCGTTAGTTACTTTGTCCTATGCTATCAAGTTCGATAACTTCATTTTTTCATGTTGTCTTAATGATGGCCAACTCAGTACAATTTATGGTTCCCTGGCTCAATATAAAATGGTAACCCTCATTGGGATTATTTGCTGTATGTACAGTATTCAACGTCGTCATTTTTCTACCCTTAATTTATTGGTTTTTATTTCGTTATCTTTATAATCTACAAGAAATTTAAAAAAAAATATCTTTTGCTGAGCGCAAAACTCGAGAATGGCTAAACCCATTCGATTAATTTACTTTTTCAAATATTCGCTGAAGTCCAAGGAAATTTTTTTATTGAAAGAAAAATTGAGAAAATTGCCTAAAAAAATAAAATTGTCATTTTTAATTTTCCCATACAAATTGTTCCTAGTTACCATACTTTTGACAAAACAACGTCTCTGATTATTTCATTAGAATAATTTTCAACCGACCCCAAAAAGAAATAGATTCTCTTTTTAGTTTTATTTTTTTATGTTTGTTACCAAATTTTTCATTACATTCTACAAAATTTCATATTAGCTATCAATCTCCGACTGCCATTACGCCCACGCACGTTTTGCGATACGTGTTTCACCTTTTTTTTTTTTTTACAACACAGGGGGCAAACGAGCATGCGGCTCACCTGATGGTAAGTGACTACCGCCGCCCATGATCACCCACAACACCAGCGGCATTGCAGGTTGCTGCCGGCCTTTTAAGAAGGAATATAAAGGTTATGTTGTCTTTCATATTGATTCCAAAGAATCCATCAATCTCCGACTGTCATTACGCCCACGCACGTTTCACGATACGTGTTTCACCTCTAAATGAGACGTCTTCAGACAAATTAATAGATCGCTGCTCGGAACTTGTTTTTTTCAGTTCAGTTTGGGTGCTGTCGCACACAATAATGGTAGCATAATTAATATAATTCTAATATAATAACCAGTTATATGTAATTCCAGGAAATAATAGCTAATTCGTAAAATGAAAAACAACGTCACATCAAGTTAATTAGTATTTCATTTATATATTTAAATTTAGAATACAGAATTGTATATCTAGATATAGATTTTACTTCGAAACAAGTAAGTTCTGGGCGGAGCTAGGTTGGTGTACTAGCCACGACTCATACGCACAACAGCCCAAATGAGAGGCGTATTAATATAATTCTAATATAATAACCAGTTATATGTAACCTCAAATGAACTTCGCAAAAAAAAACAAAATATACATATATTTACTTATTATACGTGTATGAATATGAGTATGAATGAGTATACTTTATTAGCTTTATATAATATAGGAAATACTCGTAAGCAAGACAATTTACAAACAGAACAATACAATATATATAATTGGGGGAAAAGGGATTGTTAATAATGGAGATTGAGAATACCATTGCTAGCAATATTGGGTATATAGCCAACCAGGCGACCTACTCGCGGTTCTCCCTGGAAACTATCATGGTTAATTCGTGATGAATTCACCATGATGGGCTAACTGGCCTGTTTTCATTCTCATCTATCACCCTTCACTGGTGCTCCGCCAGCGTATCCTGTTAGCGCAGGCGGGATCACCACACCATTTTCACCCAACAAAAATAAAATTTATATAATTATACTCGTACTTATCTGTAATGTTACATTATTCTAACATTACAAATACAGAAAAAAAAATAAAGTTAAATTCAGTACCTCGTTCTGATAGGCTCTTAAAAAAATTAATGTACTTTATCTATGCCATAAACTACTATAGAACAGACTTACAAACAACACTTTCTTGGCGGTTTGACTGCAATATCCACAAGGCATTTTGTTAACAAAATAACAATTTTTCCTTTTAAAAAAAAAAAAAACAAAAACAAAATGTAATACTAATGGTTGTTGGCCATAAACTGAACAAAATATTGTAACTTGTTAGCGTTTAATTATTATGTAAATGAATTACAAGTCATTCATTCTGTCTGTCATGCCTCCAGATTTGAGATCCTTTGTAAGTTTTGGCCGAAGCAAATACTGTATACGTAGATTGTTTGAAACGAGATTATTTAAGACTATTTTATTCATACACATGTAGGTATATTGTATTGTTTTTAACTTAAGTATTTTTTTTTCAACTTAGAATGGCAAACAAGTTGACGGCCCACCTGATGGAAAGTGGTAACCGTCGCCTATAGACATGAGCAGTACCATGGACATAACAGAGTATACTGTTTCACCCATGATACCCCCCATGCGCTGCCATTCCTGAGGAATCAGGTGTTATTCCTCTGTACCCAGTAAATTTTGTAAATTTTCAGTAAATACAAATATTGGTTCTGCTGACATGTTTTAAAATTATGTTTATTTATTTATTTACTTTTTATTGAGCCACTTAAAATATATATATACGTATATGATCATCATACCAGCCTTATATGTTCGCTGCTGAACATAAGGCTCCTCCTTAGGGGGTTTTGCCAGTAGTTGCCACGGTTGGTAGGCGGACTAGCAACCGCAATTAGTCTTTTTGTGATGTTTAAAGAGGGACGTTATCTTTTTTTTTTTTTATACAACTTAGAATAGCAAACAAGCTGACGGTCCACCTGATGGAAAGTGGTAACCGTCGCCTATAGACATGAGCAGTAGCATGGACATAACAGAGTATACTGTTTCGCCTATGATACTCCCCATGCGTTGCCATTCCTGAGGACTCAGGTGTTATTCCTCTGTACCCAGTAAATTCCATTACTATATCCCATCTTTCAAACCGAAACACAGCCATGCAAACACAACTGCTTCACGGTTGAAACACGAATGGGACAGAGGTACCCAAGCAATCAACTTTTGTACAAAGTCTCCCTCTGGTAAGGTATATAGGTTTAAACCATTAATTATTCCATGCGAGTGTACCTTAGAGACTAATGAATTCCATACTTACTGAGTTTTGTATAAGCGTAACTGAGTACCTAGTTTTCTGTTGCGTACTCCACACAACAAAATGTACAGAAAATACAAATAAATAGGCAAACATTCTAGACGAAAATACACGTATGCCAATCCGGTTGAGGCAAACATCGTTTATCCTTTCTAGATAAATAATAAAATATTTTGTAGTAAAGTTTTTGTTTACACATTTTGAAGACGAAGGTCTTTCACCAGTGCGTGTTGCTAGTGATGACTTATGGAACCGAAACAGGGTCCTATACGATTGTCCGTACGCAAAAGCTTCATGTTACTCTTATCTTTGTGTGATAGAATCCTAAACCAAAGTAACGGACATAACCCGAAGGATAAACAAGGTGAAGTGGCAATGGGCTGGTCACATAGCTCGAAGAACTAACAACCGACGCGGAAGAAAAGTTCTTGAATGACAATCTCAAATGAATTGCAGTAGACGCAGGTGGTTCAAGACCGTTTGTTATGGCGATCTATTGGAGAGGCCTCTGTCCAACAGTGGACAGGAAGTGGGTGAAATGATATTTTAAATAAACTATCGGGACTTAACACGTTGAAAAATTTTACAAGTAAACATTTCCTACATACATACATAACATCGACAATAAAGGAACAAATATAAAGGTATTATTTACCTTCAAATTTTTCATCGCGTTAAAACCCGATAGTGTATTTAAAATATGTAAATTGCAAAATTAGTTCCAAATTAGTGAAGATATTATGTAACATCCACATGAAATATATCGAGGAGTCCTAAATTTTCTTTTGGAGGTCAATTTAAAACTAAAATTGCTTTGATATATTATAAAGTAAAATTACAAAAAACATAAGTGCCTTGTAATTGTAATTTTGATAATTTGTGAATTGTAAAATTGGAAAACTTTATTCTCAATTAACAAGTATATTTAATTCCACAAAAAAATACTGACTTCGATCGTGAGACAATTAGTTACATTGATTTATTAAAAGCAAACTACTGTATCAATTTTGATGATATTTTTTATAAGTCTAATCTGAAAGTATAATCTTTCAAATAAATAAAAGAAATTCTATTTTACAAATCGATTTCTAAACAACGGAGTTAAACAAAAAAAAATATAACTATGTATATATTTTTTTTTTTGTTTGTTACCTTAGAACTCCGTTATTTAAAAATCGATTTGTAAAATTGGAAAAGAAAGTTCTAACTCTTCTTTTTCGGAGTCGGTTAAAAACTAAAACAAGCTAAGAATAACTTTACAGTACAACTCACCTGCAATTACCGGACCGCACTGTTCGCCAGACGTGACCACTCGAGATGAACAATATATCGATATTATATCTATGTGATCAAATGATAACAGGAAACTGGCTGACAAGACGCCTTCTAGATGTCAACATTCCATGAGGTTTAATTTTATAACACGATCAGAACAGGCTCTGTATAGTTTGACGCGAAACAGAGTAAGTAAGAATAGATGTAACATTCGGAGGGTTCCGTGTTTTATTTATTACCATTATATTATCATCCAATAAAAAAAATACACATTAAAATAAATCAACTGCAAACCCAAGCAAAACCAATTCTGAATAATACGGATAACAACATGGAAACCTTAGTACATGTATCTGAATCTCGATGTGTTCCAAGCTCATACGGCTAGGAACAGTTTTTTTTTATGGTTGAAAATGGTATGGTAACCCAGCCTGCGCTTACGGGATACGCTGACGGAGCACCAGTGAAGGGTGATCGATGAGAATGAAAACAGGCCAGTTAGCCCATCATGATGAATTCGTCAGGAATTAACCATGATAGTTTCCAAGGGGAACCGCAAGGAGGTCGACCTGGTTGGGTATATTGCTGGCAATGAGATTCTCAGTCTCCATTACTAACAATCCCTTTCCCCCAACAGTTTGTGCTTGATATAAGTGGCTGACAATTTCAAGTGGAATTTATCAAATAAGATTAAATTCATTCATATTGAAGATTAAAGTTTACGTAGTGCGAGATAAAAATGTGGATTGTTATTATTATGTAAAAAATTGTAATATATACTTACATTTGGTCGTTTGGTCCCGGCATAGAATGGACCACCCCTTTGTTTCCTGTAGATATCGTAAGAGACGACTAAGGGAACTTAATGGCCGAGGAATATAAGGAAACTTAATGGCTGAGAGATAGGCAGCAGCGTTCCTCTTAGAACTTCAGTAAAGTCTAACTGTGGCAACTACTTAGCCAAAACCATAGGAATCATATATCGTCATAGGAAGCCCCATGTTCAACAGTGTATGGTTAACAGCTGATATTATTATTATACCTGCATAAATTAGTATATGGAATTCGAGTTAGTCGCGTCTTGAGTCCATTTTTAACCGACTTCAAAAAGAAGGATCTCAATTCGGTTGAATTTTTTATGTTTCCTACGTCACAACTCCGTCAATTGTAAACCGAGTTGGAAAATTCTTTTTTACCTGAAAGTATATACATACATAATTTTATAGAAATTTTACCAAAATCCGCTTAGTACTTTAGTTTTTAAATCCAAAATAACTGGTTGAGTCACAATCAAAATCAGTTTTTTTTTTTTTGTAAAACACAATCTTAAATATTTAACACTTAAATGGGAATTCATCTATGTATTACAGAGGTTTCATATATTTTTTTACATTATATACTTTTTATTGATTTATTTGTCTAGGAAAACCAAATTCAAACCAAATTAAGTCCTCAGGAATGACCCACCTGATGAAAAGTGGTAACCGTCGCCTATAGACATGAGCTGTACTATAGACAAACAGGGTATACTGTTTCGCCCATAATACCACCCATGCGTTGCCATTCCTGCGGTATCAGGTGTTATTCCTCTGTACCCTGTAAATTCACTGCCGTATCCCATCCTTCAAACCAGAACACAGCCATGCAAACACAACTGCTTCACGGTAGTAACACGAATGGAACAGAGGTGCCAAGCAAACGACTTTTGTACAAAGTCTCCCTCTGGTTAATTGAATATTGTCAATTTTATTGAGCCTCGTTAGCAATTTCTTTCCGTACATGTTTTCTCAATCGAATATATGTCTATATGTTACTAATTTAGGATTTCCTATGTTCTGATGCATATCTATGTAACGAAGTTGATTTGCTGCATGCATTTAATTAAAATTGTTGGATAAAATAAAATTACCACATTTTAAACTATCTTAAGAACATTTATTCCGAATACTGACGCTTGCATACTATAAATTAGACTAAGTGAATGTTGTAAGTACGCTTGCTCGTCACGTGACCAACTTTTGAGGCTGTGATGTAATTTTTTTGGCCCTGAGCGCTGCTAACTGCTCTGATGTGCAGTATTCTGAAAAAAAAAAACATATTTTTTTATAGTAACCGGTCAAAAGGACCACACCCCACCAGGAAATAGGAGGAAGATATGGTCCAAATATAAAGACCTCCATCTAAGCTATCTTTATATATTACTAGTTAATTAGTTTACTTGGTTACCTCTGTCCTATTCATGTTTCTACCGTGAAGCAGTTGTGTTTGCATTGCTGTTTCGATTTGAAGGGTGAAATATGGCTGTGAATTTACAGGATACAGAGGAGTAACACCTGAATCCTCAGGAATGGCAACGCATGGGGGATATTATAGGTAAAACTGTATACTCTGTTATGTCCATGGTACTGCTCATGTCTATAGGCGACGGTTACCACTTTACATCAAGTGGGCTGTTAGCTTGTTTGCCATTCAAGGTTGCATAAAAAAAAATATTGTTATTATTTTACAAGTTTGCAAGTGCTACATGAAATTTTAGCTACGAATATCAAAAAGTATACCTACAGTCGCACATTTCAATTAAATGCAAAAGCATTGCAAATTGGTGACGTCACATGTTCACGCTTATTTACTGAGAACATAGCGTGAAGAGTACAATAAAATCGTAATATCATTGACCTATTGAAGCTATATAATATTTTATAACTTCTATATTTCGGTCTAAACTCATAAATAAATATATAAATAATAAAATAAAGTAATCAAGTAAATATATATATATATATATATATATATATATATATATATATATATATATATATATATATATATATATATATATATATATATATATATATATATATATGCATATAAATATATGCCATTAGTGGTCCCGCAAACTCCATTTTAGACCACGTGATCACTTTCCATCAGGTGAGATCGTGGCCAATCGCAGGGGCGATTGATTCCTTCAATAATAATAAACATCTGGGGACAACAACATAACTTTGAACACCCTGCTTTGAGCCAATTCAGAAAAATTGGATAATTTGCCTGAAAATGACAGTCGGAAATTGATGGCTAAAATTAATTGATGGAAGGTTGTGGGGCGTGTAGGCCCCGGCATAGAATTGGCCACCTCTTTATTTCTCATGGGTGTCGTAAGAGGCGGCTAAAGGAGCTCCTGGTGGAGGAATGGGCAGCAGCGTCTCTCTTAAAATATTATCAAAGGTTAACTGCGGTTACCAACCCGCCTGGCAAGCATAGCAACTACTGGCAACCCCCCCCCCCCCTTATGGGGGAGGCTATGCTCAACAATGGACAATTAACGGTTAATATAACTTATATCTACGGAAGATTGTGGAAGTTCTGGTAGTAATAGTGGTGTTCAGTCTTTGAGTGTTGGCAATAGCACACATAATAATAATAACGGAATTAAACAAAATAATTCTAATCAAATAACTAAAGTTTCATTCCTAAACTGGCCCTACCAGGAATCAAACTCAAGGTTTTATTTACGCGAAGCGACGTGCTCACCATTGAGCCACAAAAGTCGTTATTTGATAGTTGTTCAATACATACGTATTTTACTAGGCTCCCATCCGATATATTCGCCTGTCCGTTGGTTCTCTGCCTTCAGCCACTCGTAAAGGGGCTTGAAGTACTCCAAGAGGCCGTCCGCCTTCATAGACCGCTGGCCGGTGAGCACTTCCATCGCGTCTGGCCACGGCTTCGATGATCCCATCTTGAGCATGTTACTGAGAGTGAAGAAAACAAAATGATTATAAAAATTTCATTGACTTCTATTATTATTTGAACAGCTAATAATTATTTGAGTAAATTTATACGTTGTTTGACTGATCATCATGTCAAGAAATATAGTCATCATGTCGAGAAAAATAGAATGGTCTTCGGTCCTCTCACAATTTCCAACTTGTAACCCCATGACACCATTCCGGATTTATGTCCAATTCTTTTACCGTCACAGCTTTTGTGATCCCTCAGTAAGCAAATTTTTAAAGGAAGAACAAAATCAGTTCTAGTTACAAGTTACTCAATAGTTCCTATATCTCATAATGTTGTTAAATCTCTTATCGTTTATATATACATATATATATTAAGAGTAATATTTATGTATATGTGTATTTCTTATGTATGATTATTTCACTAAGTTACTATAATTATGTCACATTTTTCACTACATTTGCCCTTCATACGCTTTCTGTTTTTACCTAATGGTTAGCTGGTAGAAAAAGCCATTATGGCATTAAGCAGGCCACTTGTACAAAGTTTTATTGTGCAATAAAGAATAAATGGTTGGACCTGCGTTAAACCTCCATCAAACTATCGTGGTTAATTCCTAATAAATAACTCGTCACGATGGGATGGGGTAGATACCATCCCATTTTTAATTTCTCATACAAAACATGTAACAGTCATAAGATACTTACGCCAAAGCATTGCCAGCAGTGACACTCTGATAAATATCACAATCGACCAGCTTCTTATTTATGTCCTCCGGGGCGTACTCCCCGGCTAGGCTGCACAGGGCCCGGTGGAATTGGAATTGGATAATGAATGACACGTAATATCTGTAAAATTGAATAAATATTTGTTAATCTACCTTGGAATGGCAGACGACCATAAATCATATTATGTTTAAAACATTGTCAGCAAAACAAGATACAAAATTTAAAAGAGAGAGAGAGTGAAATAGAATATACATTATTTGCACAGATTTTCACTTGTGCACCGTACTTATTTGAGAATGAAATTAACCCTTCTTTGCATAATGGTAAAAATTTCCATCATAACATTGAATGCCCAAAAATTATATAAAAGACCAAGTTCACTTTAAATTGATCGTGTCTAGATACCTTTTTATTGTCCATTGTAAAAAAAAAAAAACAAAACATAGCTGTCAAATTTATTTTTTTAACCAGTTTTCCTTTAATTTTGGACATGATTTATATCACCTTGATTTATTTCACCAATAAAAAAAATCATGCAAAGAATGGTTAATTTTGCAACGTTGCTCAATGTTCGTGCTTCTTTATTGGCGAGGACTTTTGATCGGATGGCAGTTTGAGTGATATTATGAGTATTTTATCCCAAATCATTTGAAGTCAGCGAGTAAATGACAACAAATAGAGATGATAGGTATCAACAGTATTAGTTTTTTAGGTCTTCCTCTGTCTTCACAACATATTCATACCTATATTCACGTATATTACTTTAAAACACTACCAATATCCCTGCATATTAGTTTTCCCAAGAGACTACAACATGGGGTTCTTCAAAAGGGGGGTAAAGAGGTTTCTTCAGGACGGCAACGCGAGCGTAATACCTCTGGTATTGCAGGCGTTCATAGGCTACGGTAACCGCTCACCATCAGATGGGCCGTATGTTTGTTTGCCACCTCAGTGGCATGAAAAAAACCATAGGCCCTAACCATGATCGCGATCAGAACCGAATTATTTAATACTGAACGTAGTTTCCTTTATTTTTTAAATTCAATTTATTCCCTGATTCTGAAATACTATTATAACATAGGTATTAGTTTTCAGAAAATTTTGGTCACTTAAATACATACCTAGCATACTCAACATTTGCAGATACGTGGTATTTTGCAGCAGCATCAAAGTCTTCTTCTGTTCTGTTCACCGGTGGTTCTACTCCTTGCAACATTTCCCTTAATCTCCAGTAATGGCAGTTGTAATCTTCTGGAGGGGTCGTACCTCGGAATACACCGTAGCGGAACAAGTCAAGGGTGTAAGCGAAAGGTAAAAACACTATCTTGTCCATACCCTGAAATTGAATACCAAAAATCATATTATATACAATCTATACTTATAATAAATCTGTAGAGAGGTCAATTCTGTACATGAAATCTATTTCCAAAATAACTATCAGGGGGTGATTAGTGATCGATACTGATGCCAAAAATGCAATCAGTATAATTTTTGTTGTCTGTATGTTCGTTAAAGAAAGAAAAACAACTCGACGTATTTGAACGAAACTTGGTACAATTATTCTTCATACTCCTGGGCAGGTTATAGTATACTTTTCATCACACTAAGATCAATAGGAGCAGAGCAGTGAAGGGAAATGTTGGGAAAACGGGAGAAGTTACTCCATTTTTAAGCTTCCGGCGCGTGTGCAGCCTTAATGGTCACTTTTTAAAATGTAAAAATGTCCACCCGTGCGAAGCCGGGACGGGCCGCTAGTATACAATAAAATATATAAAATGCAATGCACGAAAGATATCACGAACGACACAGTATACTCTGTTATGTTCATGGTACTGTTCATGTCTACACGAGTAGGTGATGGTTACTACTTACCGTCAGGTGGGCAGCTTGTTTGCCATCCTAAATTCTATAAAAAACATTATATCAAATTATTGTATTGAATTACCATAAACTGAATTTACCATTTTATAAAGTTGATTTATTTCAGTTTGCTCGTCTTCAGCATCCCCGTTTATAAGACCAACACGTCGTAAATGCTTAGGGGATGATACCGACAATGCTATTGTATCACCTACTGCTTCGTGAAAACCTATAAATGTAAAAAATATCATCATTATTTGTCATATAATATAATGATTATTAGTTGCATTTTATAAATCATTTGAGATAATAATAATAAATTGTTAATCCCTAATAAAGAAACCAGAGGGAGACTTTGTACAAAAGTCGATTGCTTGGGTACCTCTGTCCCCTTCATGTTTCTACCGTGAAGCAGTTGTTTGCATGGCTGTGTTTCGGTTTGAAGGGTAGGATATGGCGTGAATTTACTGGGTACAGAGGAATAACACCTGAGTCCTCAGAAATGACAAAGCATGGGGGGTACTGCTCATGTCTATAGGCGACGGTTACTACTTTTCATCAGGTGGGCCGTCAGCTTGATTGCCATTCTAATTTGTATAAAAAAAAGGCATGATTTTAATCAGTTTCAAACAGAAATATAAGATTAAAAAAGCACAAACTATTTCATAAACAATTGTAACGATAAATCGAAATACAAATTGGAGTATAGTGATAATCGTAAACGCCACATTTTTTTCTATGATTCCCAACCATACATGTATAGATTTTTTTTACAAAAAGAAGATCATTAAATTTGTACTACATGTGTAAACAGATAGTATAATATAACCAAGAACTAAACAAAAGAGATTATTACAATAAAAATAGAAAAAATTAAACTGTTACAAATAAAGTAAAATAATTATAATAGTAATAAAATAATGTTTTTGTATTTTATGCACGAAAATTATTAATTCACTCTTACGCCACCTGCCCTTTTCTATCTGTTCTCCTTTAACTAAAGGTTGTCTTTAAGAGATTGCCCTAGCGATAAGACCGCCTTTTGTACCTTTATGTGTATATTTCAATCTGTATTTATATTACTGTATTTCACTTGAATTATTCACTTGTCATTGTATATTTTTATTTATGGTGCAATAAAGAGTTAAATAAATAAATAAATAATAATGGATCAGAAAATTTAAATATTCTGAGTAGAATAAAAGACAGCAAACACTGAGAGAAAATGTATTATAGTAATTCCACGTGAAATACAAATATATGAATGATATAGTACATTATCCCGTAATTAAATCTGAACCCGGAATTCACCTGGATTCGCGCCCTCACGGAACACATTCGGCTGATTTCTATATTGCAAGTAATACTGTACGTGGCCCATCTCATGATGAACTATCCTGAAATGCTCCCTGTTCACCACTGTACACATTTTGATCCTGCATTTAAGGAAAATAAAAGAAGTTATTATCAATTACCTGGATTTGCTCCATCACGAAAAACGACCGGTTGATCTTTATATTGGAGGAAGTACTGAACGTGTCCCATTTCGTGATGTGTAGTTTGGAAATATTCATAATCTACTGTTGTGCACTGTTTGATCCTTTAAATTAAAGCCAAATATACGTTAAAATTAAATTTTGAATATAATCATAGATGCACAGGTCGTTATCAATATCATTAATATCCTTTTGAGAAAGTATTCTATCAATAAAACTAAATATTTATCTGAAATGAATGTGATTTGATAAACGACAAAAATGTTTTGCCTCCCATATTAATACAACGTGTCCAATTGCTTGGTCACAATAAGAAGTTCTCAATGTTTCGTAGTTATTATTATTATTGTTCGTATTTCATTTAGAGTATTAATAATTGTTTTTTATAAGGTACTTTTATATGCAGATACTGTGTCAATGTTCAAACTTTATAAATCATCTAACTACTCATTATAACAAATCAAATTACATCAAAGTTGATGGTTTTGCATTGTTGATTACAAAGTTCCCATTTTTTTTTTACAACACAGGGGGCAAACGAGCATGCGGCTCACTTGATGGTAAGTGACTACCGCCGCCCATAATCACCCACAACACTAACGGCATTCCCATGCACACTTTTCAGCTTCATCATTAGACTTCATTATCACTACAATATTGCATTGTCATTACTTTTACAAAAAAAATCTACTGGATCAAACGCCAACTAATCTTGCTTAAATATAACCCGTAAAACTTATAAACATTACACCTATCTTCAAGTCCTTACGGAGTAGATAGAGAAAATTGCATATAAGAAACTTCATTCTTATTTGAATCATTTACATCGTCAACTTTCATAAATCTATAATCACACATGAAGTCTCAAGAACCATCATTCTACAAAAGTGAGTAAATCCGATATAAATAATCCCAATTCAATTAAGAAAGCTTAAATCACACAATGTAATATTTAAGTTACCTTAGATTTTTGTCTAATGTCCGTTACAGTATCTTTTTATTTTTAAACCATCAATATGTAAACGAATGCAATAAAATAGTCGTATAAAAATCCCCATAGACACAATATGACGCAAATATAGCATTTAACATATACATCTAATAGTTCATTACCTAAAATCTTGTCCGTCGTAGAAGTCCCAAGCTGACGCATGACAAACTATCTCTCTGTCTGTTGGCTTCTCAATAATGGAGTTCTCCCAAAATTTCTCAGGCATCGCGGTCAAATTTAAAGATTTGAAGAATTCGTCTGACATTTGGAACATTTTTAACGCTGTGTAATTCTGATCTCTCATGGCTTGAGTGATGTCACTTTCTTTCTTATCAGGATAAGGACGTGTGAAGGATTCTATATTATTCCATGTCTGTGCCCACATATTACCTGAAAGATAAAACGTTATTTATATTATAGTTTATTTATTATTAATTATAATTTCTTTGTAATTAGTGACATGCAGATGAACGCTAATGCATTATCATATTAGCTATTAGCTGTCCACTGCTGAACATAGGCCTCGGCTTCTTTACAAATTGCCATAAGGAACGGTTTCATGTTAATATTGCATAGATTGTCTCCCTGCAATGCATTTATGGTCGTCACTCTATCTAGGGACAGTCATCCTACACTGCATTTGCCTGTACGGGCTTCCCGCTCAAAAATGTTTCATAACTGATGGGGATCAGTTATCGGTTCTTCGAGCTATGTGATCACCCTATTGTTTATCCTTTGGACTATGTCGGTCGCTTTTGTTCTTCTGGGAATATCCTTATTTCGAATTCTATTACGCGCTGAGTTACTTCAATTTTCTGCATACGGCCAACCGTGTATTAATATAATATATACATTGTGTAACACACAGTTATACATTACTAGTTGTATCGCGTGGCTTTGCATATGATTAGTAGTTCTAGAGATTAGCACGTTCAATCAAATAAACTCTTCCACATTATACCATTCTATAGTTTTCTTTCAGCTTCTCAAAGGTTAACTCTAAGAGTTCCCGTTATAGGACAAGTCCGCCATTATATATTAAATATTTTAATGTGTCCAAAATAAATTATGTACAATAAAGATTTTACAATACAATACCATTTTCTAGTACCTTACTGGTACTTCAATTCTATTATTTCAATTTTACCTGGGCTGTCACCTTGTTTATCTGCAGTGAAGCTTAAAAAATTCTCCCACTAAGAGATAATTTCTGTATAGCCCCGACATAGAATAGGTCACCACTTCCTTTTCAGTGGATACCCATCTCTCGCCCTCACTTAATGAAACCATATGTAATGTTTTAATGAAACCATCCCAATGTCAGACAACAACTGTTTTAATCATATTATTCAACTACCTTCAAACTAACTATACATGACATCTTTCCCTCTATAAAAAAAAGACATAAGAACTTATATCTCCAAACAAAATATATAATTGAGTACTTATTACCTATTTGCTTAAATATATACAATTTAACTACATAGTTACTTATCTACTACAATACAAGTCTATAAACAGTAAATAGGAATATATATTTTTATTAAATCTATAGATGAAAATAAACCTTATCAAAAAATAAACATGTAAATGCAATAACAGTCCGAGTTTGTAATGCTTTAATATGTACTTCTTATATACTACTTTATAACACCTTATTGCTAAAGAAATCAATATAATGAAATATAGTAGATGTAGTATGTTTTATACAAAAACAGATATGAGTGTGTTCACAGAATGCATTCTATCTAATTTATTTGAGTGTTTTGGCACGTTTGCGCGTAATCGCTGGTTTAAGAAACATACTACCACTACTGCTATTTGGTTGCGGGTTCGAACCCGGCGGTAGCAGTGCGGTACGGTGCATCCATCGTGCCACCGATACATACGTCCGACCTTGTTTCCGATGTTTTTTGGTTTAAAACCTTAGTAACCACGGCTGGTTCAGCTTTGTTTATTTCAAACTTTACTTCCGGTGGTTCACATTTGATTAAATGACGACGATTACGTCGATATTTGGTTCCTATTTTATTTTCTATAATATAAGAACGAGGCGTATCAGCCGTGCTTACTACAGTGGCCCTAGTACGATTTTTACCATCATTACATATTACTTGGTCACCTTTTTCTAACTTGCATAGCGTTTTACAATGCCGATCATAGTATCCCTTATTGGACTTTTGCTTATAGACCAAGGTATGATATTCTGTTTCATTTACAAGTTTTGGTTTTAATATTTGTACGCTGGCCGGAAGTTTACATCTTAATCTTCATTAACATCTGTGCAAGAGCTTAAACCTTCTCTAGGAGTATTTCTGTAATTCAATAACGCTAATTGAAAATCTCCTCCTGTCTTAATTGCTTTACTCAACAGTGACTTAACTGTTTGTACAGCACGAATTTGACTGAGGATAGTTGGGTGAAGAAGTCACGTGATGAAAACTCCAGTCACTAGCAAATAATTTGAACTCTACTAAATTGAGTGCCGTTTTATTAATATTTCAGGTATACCATGACGAGAAAATACTTCCTTTATATTTTGTATGACTGTATATGAGGTAATATTTTGTAAATTACATACTTCAACATAATTAGAATAATAATCTACGACAATCAAATAATATTTTCTTCTGTACTCAAAAATATCAGTACCTACTTTCGTCCACGGCAAAGTTCTCTACTGGAATCATAAGTTCCTTTGCTTGTGCATTTAAACTCAAAGTTAGGCACAATGTCGCGTGACATCGGCCTGCCACCACTCGGCCGCTACATCTTTATAATCTAAAAAAATTGTAATACATTAAATATAATATTTAGATAATATAGAATTATAATATGTTTCAAGAGAATTTAATGGAAATATAAACAAACTAATAATCGACATGACCATAAACCAATCTACTGATATTCAATAAAAACATTAAAAAAAAATAATTTAATTGATTGAATATTTGTATTTGTTACTAATTTTTATAAAAAATATATCACAATTATAACATGAATCGATCATAATTACAATAAACAATATTCATTAAGTTCTATAAACTATAATTGGAATTAACTATAACTTCTTCATAATGACTTCGCTAAATAAATAAGATGGTACTACAAAAAACTTCAATCTTATTAAAACTTCTAATACCGAAGACAACCCAATTTCTCTTGCAGGAGACAATTAGGATTGTGTTTCACAAAAAAAAAACCGACTATAATTGTGTCAAAACAAGCTATTTTGTTTTCGAAACTAAAATACTGAATTGAGTTCATAAAATCTTTATAAGACCAATCTATATATCCTCTCAGATAAAAATAGGATTTTCTTAATCGATTTTAAACTAACGGTGTTATAAGGTAACAAACATAAAAAATACAACCGAATAGAGAACCTCCTAGGGGGGAAAGGGCTTGTTAGTAATGGAGATTGAGAAGTGCCTCGTTTCCGCATACAAAACAAGTGGCATTCTGAGCCGGACACTGCTTCTGCTGGCAGCGCACCCTGGCACCGCAGCCAGAGCAGGGCGCGGCGTGCACAGGCGTGAACCGACCGTCGGCGCGGCGTGGCGCCGGCGCGCGGCCGCTCGGCCCGGTAGCTCAATATTCACTTGTACACACTCACCACAGTCGTCCACGCTTTTTCCAAGGTCAAATCTTCGTGTCGTAATAGCCTATCCCTGGACTGCGTACCCCACTATCATACGATCTTTAATCAAATCCTGCGATAAGAATTCATCATGATGGACTAACTGTTCTTCCTGTTTCTCATTTATATCTCATCTGTAATATTTTCTTTAGTTCCAAAATAAGCGTATCCATTTTTTTAATATCATCTTTATCTGTATCTTTAGTAAAAGTGAAAGTTTGATACCGTCAAACTTCAAATTTATTAAAACTGGTCGGAATTGAAAACCCGTTGATAAACAGCAGGAAGAACGCCTCCATGCAATAGGGCCTCCCTCCATATTTAATTCGGATTATATAACAAAATATCCACTTTAGTTTTTTATGCAAATTTATATTTGTTAAGATTTTATTTAAATACGATTTAACACTGTTTTGATATACCGCTGCCACCATGTTTTTTAATTTGTCAGACAACAACTGTTTTAATCATATTATTCAACTACCTTCAAACTAACTATACATGACAGTCGCCTCTTACGACACCAACAAGAAAGGAAGGGAGTGGCCTATTCTATGTCGGGACCACACGGCAAATCATTAATTATGGTATAATAAGAGATAGTTATTTCTTTGCAAAATTTCTTATACAAATAATTTTATATTATTTTAGCCTAATCACTTGATTTTATACTCTATTGCTGCTCTTGCCTTATTTCACCTTTTTCTGAACTATTTATTCTTCTCATTTAAAAAAAAAGGTGTAAATATAATATTTTCTCATTATTCTAGATATATATAGTGGCTTGTTGTTTTGCATTCTCCTCAAAGATTTAATATTCTTTATAATCTAAAAAAATAAACATTAAATATAATATTTAGATAATATAGAATTATAATATGTTTCATTAATAATCGACATGACCATAAACCAATCTACTGATATTCAATAAAAACATTTAAAAAAAAATTTAATTGATTGAATATTTGTATTTGTTACAAATTTTTATAAAGAATATATCACAATTATAACATGAATCTATCATAATTACAATAAACAATATTCATTAAGTTCTATAAACTATAATTGGAATTAACTATAACTTCTTCATAATGACTTCGCTAAATAAATAAGATGGTACTACAAAAAACTTCAATCTTATTAAAACTTCTAATACCGAAGACAACCCAATTTTTTTAGGATTGTTTTTATAATTGTGTCAAAACAAGCTTTTTGTTTTCGATAAAATACTGAATTGAGTTCATAAAATCTTTATAAGACCAATCTATATATCCTTTCAGATAAAAAAAGAAATCTCCAAATCAGTTTATCACTAACGGAGTTATAAGGTAACAAATATAAAAAAAAAACAACCGGATAGATAACCTTCTTTTTTTTAAAGTCGGTTGAAAAGTAAAGTAAGAATATAATACAATGGATTATATTTATATCCCTAAGATTTTGTTTAGATTTTATTTAAGATTTTTTTTTCTATTTAATTTAACCTACCCTCCAAAAATAAGCATAGTATTGTTTGGTATACAAATTGGGAATCTGTAATTGGCTAACGTATGGTGTACATTTAATATTTTTCATTATTCTAGATATAAGCTGTTGATTCCAGATTTAATATTAAAATAAAATAAAGACATTATAAGAGGCGAGATAAAAGAAAATATCGAAATAAAACGTTATACCAATCACGATCTGGCTGACCAGCGTGATCAGCAGCAGTTCATAAGGAGACAAATCTTTAGCCAGCAATGAGGCATTAATGGGTTGTTACTATAATAAATCTGTATTTAAAATGCAAATACAATTTAAATGTAAATCAATATTCTTGCTAATATGTTATCCTCAAACACAATATAATATTTATTACATTCCTAGAAGTATTTATGTTATTACCGTGTGGTAAAGAACTACCAAGACAATGTAACAAATTTATTAAAAAAAAAATGTAATAACTGTAATTATAAAAATATCATACCTTATTTAATAGTTTTAATTGATAGGAAAAAGAATATTTAAAATGATTATATTGCTCTTCAAAAAAATTGATTTAAATTGTTGCAAAACCAGTTATTTCGAATTAAAAATCAAACTTCTTAACAGATTTTGATAAAAATTCTATGGGGCCAATTTGTAAGTATAGGATATAGAAATAACAAAAGAATATTCCAAATCGGTCTACAACTGACGGAACGGATTATAAGGTTAACAAACGTTAAAAAATAACGAAATCAAGAACCTCCTGTTTTTTTAAATCGATTCAAAATACAACTAAATTGAGAACGTCCTGCATTTTTGATGTTGATTGAAAATGTTTCATAATCAAACGACTACTCGACTATATCACGTAATAAAGTCACGAAAAAAATCTAATGAATTAATAACATAATACTTTTGAATGATGTGAAAGCAACATATTTTTGAACTTCGCCTTAAAATCCTTACCATTAAGTTTGGCTGCTTCATTATACAGTCGTACATACTGAGTAAAATTATTTCGTGCCTTAGCACCGGCCACTTTATGCCACTCAATCCACGTGTGTTTGAGCTCTTCAGGGTCTTGACTTTTTGCGAAGATCTCGGTAATTTCTGCGAATCACATTTTTTTACCATCAATGATGTCACTGTTCTCAAATATACAACGTTCGCTGAATGTTTGAAAATATTACATTAATTCAATTGAAGACAAAATTATACATGCGAACATTTTTAGATGCATTTTTTTATTTATATGACGTACTTCTGTAAAAACATGAAACTTTATATTTTCAAAGAAAAAATCTACTTTTGAATTGCTTTCAAAGCTAGGTCCTATTATTTGTAGTCCACATTCTAAGATTTGCTTTTCAATTTTAAATTACACATCGAAATGTATAAACTTTTATACACTTTCTTATTTATTGTTCAGTTATAAGAAAAAGTCATATTTGATCGAGTATACGATGCCATATTTAAGTGTGTGTCATATTTATGAGGCGTTATTTAATAATGCCACTTTAGGATCTGTTTCATTACATCACACTTTATCTAACTGGTATTGTTGATCGAAGACTAATATAGCTGTAGAAAATTTACGACCTACTTCTTAAAATACAATTATCATATTTACTCTGCTTTATATAAATATCTACATACCCGGTTCTAAAGACAAGTCACATTTTGTATTATCTTTGTACGAGCATATTTTTGATGTAGCGTAGTTTGATTCCATTCCCGACACGGATTTCATGAGCTGCTTGTATTTGTCGTCAGGTAACGCTGCCACGCCTAGTTCGCAATACTTCTTGAACATTCTCTTCAGTTGGTTATCTTGGAATATCTGCCATTTGTACATCTTCGTCTCCTCCCATGCTTGTTTCTCTAATTTTGATAATTCTAATCGGAGCTGTATCTGTAATTGAAACAATTTCATATTTAGTTGATAGTTTTGATATTAGTTCGAAGTTATTTATGACAAGACCATTGCAGAGCGTGTAGAGAAAATCGATTACCTAAAAAGGCCTCTATTCTTACATCTCTTGAAAATGGATTCACCATTTTAATAACTTATTTCTTGCATGACGGTTTCTAAGTCGCCGTCGCGGGTAAAGCGGTCGCCGTGACCGAAAAGTGCCAGAACTTATCATCTTTCTTACTTACTTACTTACCAGAGGGAGATTTTGTACAAAAGTCGTTTACTTGGGTACCTCTGTCCCATTCGTGTTTCAACCATGAAGCAGTTGTGTTTGCCTAACTGTTTCAGTTTGAAGGGTGGGATATGGCAATGAGTTTACAGGGTACAGAGGAATAACACACGAGTCCTTAGGGATGGCAACGCATGGAGGGCATCATGGGTGAAACAGTATACTCTGTTATGTTCATGGTACTGCTTATGTCTATAGGCGACGGTTACTACTTTCCATCAGGTGGACCGTCATCTTGTTTGCCATTATAAGTTGTATAAAAAAACTTACTTACTTAGCGGCTACAAAATTTTGTATTAAAACATCTGCTAACTTAAAATTAGGTATTACCAGCATCATTTCAAAGATCTTGTTTTTAACATTGAATAATTCAGTCCAGTTCACAATCGTTTGTTACTTAATAGCTGCGCTCGAAACATCGTCTACATGATTAGAATAAAAAGTATACTATGACCTTTTCCATGCCACATACTAAGTGTATGCCAAATTTCATGATGACTTCATAAAGAGGACAAGATGTAACAGACAGATTCACTTTTATACTTAAAACTAGCTTTCTGCCCGCTACTTCATTGCCATGAATTTTAGAAGAAAATCAAATATAAATACCACTTCTATATGAAATATTAAGATTAATTAAGACCTTTAAGAATACAACTGTGAAAACTGCATCCAATTTTCAATTAATTAATTTATTTATCTTAAGTATCACCCACTTTCAAGACATCGTCTGGTTAATTAATTTTATTATATTAGTAGTTTCCGTCTATTATTGTACGCATACTGCCCGCTAATAATTAATGCTCCTTTCCACTCAGAGTTTGCTGGAAGAGAACTCTTACAGAGTTAAGCTCGCCTATTGTACATCTTTATTTTATATATATATATATATATATATATATATATATAAAATAAAGATGTACAACTAACATATATATATATATATATATATATATATTGTAATTTTTTCTGTGTACAATAAAGAATAAATAAATAAATAAAATTTGGGTTAGGGAAAAGAGACAAATTATAAGAACTATTGAGGACAGAAGGGACAAAATGTTGGGACACTTGATACGACACGACGAATTTACGAACATTATAATAGAATGTAAGATAGAAGGAAGGAGAGGAATCGGGAAATCGAGGCATAGTTACATCAGGCAGATCAAGGAAGGAGTTGGTGTCGTGTCGTATCAAGAGGTGAAGAGACTCGCTGAAAATCGTAGTGAGTGGCAAGAGCTCCACCGACAAGAGCGCAGCTCTTAAATAGGATAGATAGATATTATATAAATTTGGAAATTATATAAAAAAAATAGATAATTAAAAAAAAAGAGAATTAGTTAATTTGTTTCCTGATTAATTAATTTGCTGCCTATAATTATATTTGTTCTAGTATTATGTACATATTTAACATATGTGTATAGGATTATATATTGTATTTATTTATAATTTTATATTTTAATTTTGATAAAAGTACTTATAATTATTTTCCTTAATGTTTTACGCTGTTAACTTTCTTAATTAAACAATACTGTCATACCAACTTCTGCAACAAATTGTTACCCTAAGGTTGTCTTGAAAAGATTGCTCTCAGCAATAAGGCCGCCTTACTATACTTATACAATAGTACCGTTATATTTGTTGTCTTGCTTATTCCCTATATTGCATAATGCAAATAAAGTATACTCATTCATTCATTCATTCATTAAATTTTATAACGATTGTGATTAAGAAATAAACTTTAGATAGATAGATAGATAGATAATTTATTTGCATTATTTACTTACAGCACACAACATACATATACAAAAAAAAAGCGAGATAACATAAATGATAAAAAAAAAATACATAAAGCTAAATACAATTTTCGTTTGTGAGTGTGCCATAGCAACACAAAACGGCCACAACTCAGTTTATTGCTCCGCCCTCAAAAGAGCAAAGCACTGATATTCTGTAGCGGCCAAAGGGAATAGGGCAACAATAAAAACTTTACTTGCTCAGTTCTAACTGTAACAAGGATTACTTGACCAATAATTATAGTTTATGTCAATATAAATTTATTAATATGTAAACAAACCAATAACTGACCATAGAATACTAATAACCAATCAATCCATTAATTAAATATGTTAATTTATTGTTACTAACTTCATTTACAATATTTATGTGATAATTTCAACATGGTTGTTTTGTTCTTGTTTGTCTTTAATAACTATATTTTTTTAAATAATTATATTTATATATTTTTAATTTTTATATAACAGACTGAATATGGCTCGAGCATAATGAGAACTGAGAAAGCGAATCTTGTTTTAAAAACGAGTCGCCTTGTTCTCGTTAACATTTTTTTTTTCTTAATTATTTGTGCCGTTGAACTAGGTCAGCCGTTTAATCTAGATTTTGGTGCGAAATAGAAAGCAACCTCTTAACTTTATATTGTTCAATATATTTAGCGGATAGTTACGTCGTCGTTTCTTTATAATTCTGATCTCTTCTCATTCTGATATTCATGATTCTGATACTGATCTATCTAATTACTAATGATTAACTGGGTATGTACTATTATTAAATTTGTAAACCTTATCATTTAGTGGATGATAATTTCAAAAATAAAATTCATTATTTACACTTAGCGATACACTAATTGTATGTCTTGTTATAGCAAAAAAATATAATTAATCTATAGTCTTTCTGGATTTCACATTAGAGTTCCATATTTATTTTTTATAACATTTTTAGAAGTTATTACATCATTCTTACATTTATATATTTATTCCTAACTTATTTGTCCTAGGCCACCCTTCCTTTCCAGTGAATATCGTAAGGAGCGACTAAGGTTGGGCGAGGCTAAGGTAACTAAGATAGAGTCTATCTGCGGTTGCCAATTCGCCTGCTAAACATGGCAACTACTCCCAAAACCCGTCAAGAGGGAGGCTTATGTCAGCAGTGGACAGTTAAAGGTCTCCTATTCAAATATCCTTTTAACAATATCTGGCCAATATAAAGTGTATCATAATTAATAAATAAAAGAACTAACCCATTTCTCCTCATTTTCCTTTGTAATGTTAGCAGTATAGTCCCATTCTGCTTTGCTCGCTAGATTCTTCCTTAGGCCCGATGCTTTGTCTAATTGAAATATGTAGTCGCTGCCCTCGTGCTCTATCGCTTCTAACTCTGGATCCCGGCCCTGGGTGGCGACGATGAACACGGCGACGATGGCAGCCACCAGCGCAGCACCGCCACCGATTTTCAACATTGTCTGTACAAGGAAAAAAATTAAAGATAAAGTACTTATTTTAGACAATTCAATTCATATTCGCAATGCAAAAATCAACGAAACAGACACACAGGCACATACACATACACACACAGTATGTGTGAGAGAGACGCACACACAGTGTGTGTTTGTGTGTGTGAGAGAGAGAGAGACGCACGCGCACGCACGCACGCACGCACGCACGCACGCACGCACACACGTACGCACGCACGCACGCACGCACGCACGCACGCACGCACGCTCGCTCGCACGCTCGCACGCACCCATATAGGTTTGAGCCCAAACAACACTGAATGGACGATGAGGAGAAAATATATTATCAAAGTCATATAAAATGGACAGCATAGCAACAAAGAAAAATACAAATGAATTAAAAATTTCGTCCTTTTGGAAATCGCTTAATAAGCTATGTATGTCTTTACAACTCTAGATACGTACGTCGTCAGTAGACGACCGACCACAGAGTATCCACATGTAACCACAGATAAGAATACACTATATTATATAGTACCAACGGACACCTGGGTTATTTAAAAATAAACAACAGATACCTATGTAAACGACCGCAACAATGTTAACTGGAAACTTCTCAATCCAAGACGAGTACGAGATCACAATACTCAGATATAACAATGTTGTGATGTGGTTTACTTATAAATACCAAAGTATTGTATTGTCTAACATATTAAAAATACAATAACATAAAATTAGCGAAACAACATCTTTAGCTGTTGATATACATAAAACTTAAGATTCACAATCTCAACAATCGATCAAAAATATCGAAAATTCTCAAATTGTTTTAAAAAAATGACAGATAATCGCGACGTTACCATACTTCATCATCATCATCGCATCAGCCATTAACTGTTCACCGCTGAACATAAACCGTCCTTTTTTGAACGGTAATTGGTTTATACTTCGTTATGAACGCTCTTAAATGCGCTTTATGTTCAACCTCTATCTCTGTAGTTTCTAATCGTGTATCTAGGAGTTGTTTTACATCAATGGCTTTAGACAAAGAATACTTAATAATTCTGTCTGAAATAGGAGAAAAGGAATCGTTGATAGCAAAAGGTATTTACCTGTGATTCTATCTCTCACTTTGTAAAACTAAGATATATTTTCAACATATTGTATAGATTATCAAAAATATATCGTGCAGTAGCTCTCAAAATTCTCTTTATATGTCAGAGATTTGTGTTAACAGTTCTCAGTTCGTTTTAAAGAGGTTAGTTCAAAAAAGTTACGTTATTTTTAAAAAGGCTTAATTTATCTTGAATTGTTGCTACTTAAAATAATACAAACTAGCGACCCGACCCGGCTTCGCACGAGTAGACAGAATATTCGAAAATCAGTACATTAATCATTTTGATTCTTTACTTTCAACAGCTTAAGACCTATATTGTTACGACATGAAATAGCAATAAATAATTTAATTGAATTAAATTGAAAAAAGTTTCAACCAATTCAACTGATCGATTATTTTATAGCATTTTATATGTAATTCTTTAGATTGATATAACTTTTTTATTTATGAACTGACTGAAATAAAACAAACACTATATGTTAAGTAGAGCAAACCGCAATACATTAGTGAAAACCGCATTCACATTGGTTAAGCCGTTTCTGAGATTAGCGTACACAATTTTACAAACATACAAACAGACAAAACTTCTAAAAATCATTATTGTTCGTTATTCGTCATTGAACTTAAAAAGTAAAATTGTGTTTTTGATTTCCGCGCATTGTTTTAGAAAAGTACTATACAAGCCTTGGCCACAACTAGGCATTGATGGACTCACGTATGTGTGCCTCGGCTGCGCCTCGGCCCACATTTGCACGTTCGTCCATCAATGCCTCAGTTGCTGGCCGCTGTAGTAATGTACTATTGTGTACACATTATTTTTTATTCATTATATCCTTGTCCTTATATAATATTCTGGAATCTATATTTCACTGCGACACATACATATGTGCATTACTATTGAGAACTGATACTGTGGTTCCAAAACCTGTAAATCGTCTCGGCCGTCCATCACATTTTTAGGAAAAAACTCTAAGAACTTAGAATATTGACATCCCCAATTGTTTCGTGGTTACGATTAGGTATTTTACGAAATTCCTAATATCCATTTTTCCCTGCGACACACATTAATCTTGAGAAACGATACTGCAGTCGTAAGACCGGTAAATCGTTCCAGTCGTCCATCATACAAAACCAGCGATGTGCGTCGAACCGCGACGAAGGACGGTCTCATCTTCTCGTGGTACTCGTTTCCTTTACGACAGAACTAGTATCTAGCCGCGACTTCGCTCACGCCACTAGACTAGAATACGTACAACGACTACCCGGTATAGAGGGGGGAAAGGGATCGTTAGTAATGGAGACTGAGAATCCCATTGTTAGCAATATACCCAACCAGGTCGACCTCCTCGCGGTTCTCCCTGGAAACTATTACGGTTAATTCCTGATGAATTCATCATGATGGGCTAACTGGCCTGTTTTCATTCTCATCTATCACCCTTCACTGGTGCTCCGCCAGCGTATCCCGTTAGCGCAGGCGGGGTTACCATACCATTTTCACCTATCAAAAAAAAAAGTATACGATTAAAATCCCATAATAAGTATTCTTATGCCAAATATAACGAATATGTCAAGAATCGCGAAACGCCAAAAGACAGCAAACAACTACCTTTCTCGTTTACAATGTTAGTACATAAAAAGTAGTTTTAGTAAATAAATATATATCTATTTGTATATTAATTATTTATTTACATATTTATAATTTTATTTATGTATTTTCTTTTACTAATTATATAGCCACTAATAATTTATTGTTTATCGTATTATTTTTGCACCATATATGTTAAGCTTTATATAAAAACCCCATAGACACTTTCTCCTTTCGAATTCTGAAGATTGACTGAAGGAAATCCCTATATGGGATAAGTGCACCTGTATACATTTTTTTTATACAACTTAGAATGGCAAACAAGCTGACGACCCACCTGATGGAAAGTGGTAACCGTCACCTATAGACATGAGCAGTACCGTGGACATAACAGAGTATACTGTTTCGCCCATGCGCCGCCATTCCTGAGGACTCAGGTGTTATTCCTCCGTACCCAGTAAATTCACGCCATATCCCAATCTTCAAACCGAAACACAGTCATGCAAACACAACTGCTTTACGCAAAATTAAAGCAATCGACTTTTGTACAAAGTCTCCCACTGGTACATTTTTGTTATAACCTAATATCAATACTATAAGTAAATGTATAAAAGCATATTATAAATTTATAATTAAAAATAAAAAAATCTTTTGTTCCTATTAAAAAAAAAAAGAACGAATCGAACACATAAAAGCCATTCTAACGCGGAGCCAGTTTGAGATCCCCAAAGGTCATCGGCCCTGGATCTTTCTGCATAATGAGATGCAGTTAATTCAACCTGTTTCGAACGAGTGACGTCACAAAAAGTGTTCGGAATGCCAACGTCCTAGGGGCAAGGTCCGTTTTGCTCATATCATGCACTTCAAAAACCGTTAATACTTAAAAAAAAGTGTTCAATATTTTTTTTTAATGTAATATAAAAATCTTATAAATTTTTATAAATGCTTTTTATGTTAATTTAATTTTTATTCAAATCTTACATATATTTATAATTAAATTGTAACCAGACGAAGTCTGTACATAGGAAATATTTAAGAAAATATAAAAAAAATAATAAGATTTTTTTAATATAATTTTTTTTATTAATAATAATAACTTGACTTGATTTTTTTATAATTATAATGACAAGGCAATTGTATGGGGTCGCGTCCACCTCTGAATTGCCTAGTTCCCACCCCAGGATCCAAGCGAGCCCTTTCATAACAAGGATATATCTGAGAATACATATATAGCTTTTTTACAGATTACACAAAGAAAGATTTTCTCAAATCAGTTGTATTTTTTTTTATGTTTGTTACCTCATAACTAACATAACGTCAGTTGTAAACCGAGTTTAAAAATTCTTTTTTATCTGAAATAGTATACTTACAGATTGCTTGAAATTTTATCAAAAGCGGAGCAGTAATTTAATCTTCAGATGAAAATAACTGGTTTTATCACAATTGAAATCAGTTTTTTTTTTCTGTGGGACACAGTATTAATTTAAAGAGCCAGGTCTACCCATGAAAATATTTTTAAATACGCTAATATGTAACGTACCGGCGGAGGGGGGGGGGGGATAATTAACAATAGTACAGATAATATAATACTATACCAGTAGTAACAGGGACTAGCAGTCCCATTGCTACCATTACACCCTGTCAGATCGACCTCCTCACGGTTCTCCCTGGAAACCAACCTGAATGGTTAATTCGTCACCATGGGCTAACTGACCTGCCGTTTTATTTCATCACATTTCACCTGTCATCTCTTATTGGTGCCCTGCCAGAGTAAATAGATAGCAAAGGCGGAGTTCACTCCAATAACACCCATCAAAAAAAAACTTATTATCGTGCTTATATCTATAGGCGACGGTTGCCACTTCGGTTCTATCTGGTCGGCCGTTAGCTTGTTTACCGTACCGAGTTGCATTAAAAAAAAATTGTTACCAAACGCGAATTATATCATCCTCAGAACTTAATTTATACAAATTAATTCTCTTTGCCATAATAAAAATGTGACTCATACGTTAATTCCATAGCAATATAACGTACAAGTTCGAAAAGGAATTTTAATGTATGTTAATTATTTTTAATTATGAAAAAAAAATGGAAGTAAAATGATTAAGCACTAAAAATTCTTTGGAAATGATCAATACATCCAAAGTCAAGGTCTGATGATGGAATGAATGGGAAATACGTTACCAATATGAATTCCCTTGAGGTAATTCATTTTAAATAAATAAATAGTAATTCCTGACAAAGATTTTTTTTATGCCATTAAGAATGGCAAACAAGCTGACGGCCCACCTGATGGAAAGTGGTAAC